ATAACAAACAAAGCCTGGTGTGTACTTTTAATCAGTTAAAACAATACTTCTACTCAAAACAAATAGATAAATAGACAGAAACGTGAATTATGACTTCTTATTTTTATAAATAGAGATTCGTATTTTTTTTTTAACACTAATGAGTCTTTCAGTGCTTCTTCTGTATAGTTCAAAGACGTGATGAGAGCGTGCACATCATCATCAAAAGCATTTCCAAATGGCTGCTGTAAGCCTTCACCAACGGTCGCCTTCAATCGATAGTAGTACTGATCATATGGTCAACCAGAAAGGATAGGCAACAAGGAACTTAAGCAGCCAGTGAATTAATTATTCAGGGTATAAGTATAAAACTTGGGCACTGTGGTAGAGTATAATTCCATAATGGATAAGAATTTATTTTTAATTCACACAGTGTAGTTCAGTTATATTAACTGATGACGTTTCGAGCACAAACTATTGCTCACAATCATATCAAGTTATTCAGGGGCCTATTGCCAAAATTTTGCAGAAGGAAATGAAGATCGGTTGGACATGCACATAGGAAGCATCACACACTAGGCCATCGAGTGGGACATAAAAATAGGAAGTGGTGAGTTGGTCATCCGACAGTAATGTGGAGAACATTATATAAAGAGGAAAAAAAGAAGCTCGTGGGCAGTTGTAGGTAGAGCCCCATCTGAAAATGATAACAGAGAGCAGAGTACAATGGAAATTTGCTGCTGAAAACCCTATGTTCCACTCGGAACACTAGAAATGAATAGCAACAGTAGTAGTCCAAAGAGTCAAAATAGTATATTTATCGACCCTCCAACTATTAGGATCACGAAAAACGGAGCCTAGAACCATCAAGTTACCAAGTAAGCAGGTTATCATTTCAGACAACGGCTAGGCAATTCTCCATCACGCTGCAACCAAACTCATTGATTGAGAGTGGTGATACGCTCGCCTTGAAGCTTGACACGTCAGTAAACTCGATCTTGCTGAACAGTCAGTTCTAACCACACTCTATGTAGTACATATAAAGATAGAGGAAAGAGAAGGACAATTCATAGGAACTATATAATCAACAGAAATGTACAGGAGAAAGATTTAATGGATCTAAGCGACTTAAAGAAGTGAATATATGTGCGCCACTGAGAATGATTTTGAGTCATCACCCAACAGTCTCTCTCTAACACTATTGATTCCTAATGGTTTGAGCACTCCAATCAGGTAGTTTACACCACCCATGTTGGTGCTAAATATCACATCACATTCAGCTTTCTGCTTACATCCTATCACGCCAACAATTTTTAGTAATGTTTTACATTCGCATGATGTCAATCAAAAGTAACTGACACTTCAACCTGTTATCATGAAAAACGGTTATTTTTTATAAGTGAATACATTTCACTGTGGTCATTTAATTCCTTACTGTTTATTCATTGATGTATAATCAAACATAAAAATTTAGCTGCTGCAAGAACCACATACACAAAGAAGCAAACATTGTTCGAATCAAATCCAACCAATCACCGGCTGTCAATCCGTTATTTAGACTATCTACCGAATCTATTTGATCACACATCAAATAAATCAATAAGATCAATAAAAGTAGCCTGTGATTCTACTATTCTAATTTTGGAAGATTAATTTCACATTAGATGGAGAACCTGTGAATCACGCTGCCTAGAGGAAACGACTAACTACATACGTGAACAAGTGTACAACAGTTTGATAAATACTGGCATCCCAATGGATATCCTAAAAGAACGGTTATTAAGATGCATCATGAATGTAAACTTTAAATTTGATGGCACACTTTACAGACAAGTGGACGGGGTAGCAGTGGGCTCCCCATTGGGTCCCATGTTGGCAGATTTCTTTCTAAGCAAACTAGAGAATTGTCCTTTGAACAAACTTATGAACTTGTATGGATGATACCTTCATTCTGTGTGGAATTGATTCGGACAGGAACACAATAATAACTCAATTCACTAAAGTACAATCCGATATAAATCTCACGTGTGAAGAGGAATCTCAAAATAGAACTGCTCTCCTAGATGTCCTTCTTACAAGAAAACGAAACGGCATTATAAAGAGAAATTTGCACGGGAAAAACACACAGGAAAATAGCTATCCAGAATAGTTCATCAGGAAGCACATGACCAAGAAAATAGAAAAGGAATATTCTCTATCTGTAGATACGAAACCTTCATATATATATATGGCTGCAGTTCAGAGGTGACGCACCTAATGAAATAATTACTGTTCACGAATTCTAACTTCTGGCAATTTTTCATATACGTGCGTCGGTGGAACAGCGGTTAGGACTCTCGCCGACCATGCACATGTTTCGGGGTTCGATCCCCTGCCGACGCACAACTGATATCTATGGTCGGCCTGCAAAATTTGGGCTACCTATATCATATGCTGAAGATTCCATACTTGTACCAAAAATACTGTGTGGTTTCAAGCTGTAATCAAAAGTTTTAAAAAATTATATCACATTGCATAACCTTTTTTGTTTCTAATGTTTCTCTAACTAAACTCAGTTCGTGATCACAACTGAAAACAGTCAAATCTCGATAACATACAGCAATCCAAAAGTAAGTGTTTTCTAGTTGGTAATACTGTATCACTCGCTCTGTGTGGTGTCTTAGACAATACTGTTGACTGGTAAATTGCATAACATCTTCCTTTTATGGCTGTGAGACACGATCACTGAAAGCAACATATATGATGAAAAAGCCAGTAGTCTCCAACCGTAGCTGTTTGCGTTTATATCTACTGTGGTAAGTGGCATAATGTAGTGACTGATATTGAGGTTAGGCATAGAGCACTGGGTAACCAAGGAAGGCGAGTCAATAGATGAAGTTGTTAAACAATATCAACAACTCCGATGACTAGGATGTGTTGCGCAAGCCAAACCATGAACTTCCTCGTCAGAAATGAATTAGTTTGCATGTGAGACTGGTTTGGAAAAGGTTTTTCAAGATGGTCAAATCAAAACCTGGCATCAATTCACGAAATTTTTTTTGGTTTGAACCGTGATCGGACGTGTAGACTGCCTGGTTGGAATCCTCAGGATCCTAAGAAATAATAGCATGAGGCTGTTGGTGAGATGGCTGAAAATCGTTCTCATTGGTACAGGATGCATTCACTTAGTGTATCATCTTCTAGATCTATTAGTTTCTCATTATTCTTCAGACGTTTATTCTTTCTCTTATACATCTCTCTGTTCTTCATAATCACTTTGAATTTCTTTTACGCCTTTTCTCTACTTTCATATATATACTACATGACATGAAGTGTAACAACTTGAACTGGTGAACTTCTGTGCAAGGTTTTCTGTCACATTGCACAACATTGTTAAACTTACCAACACGATAAAAAAATATGCAGCTCAATGGAAGAAATTGTTACTAAGTATCAATCAGTGTCCTAATAAACTGCATTTTTTATTGTGTCTGTTTGTGTCACGAGAAGAGAGAACAGTAAAACATCAATATAGATTGACATATTCGTCACATACACAAGAGATCTAACTTTTCCAGTTTTCAAATATTGGTTTGTAAGGATTTGATTTGATTGGTTACAGGATTTCATCATGAGCTGACATCCGTTAGAGAACCATTGGAAGACCACCAGGGAGTACTGAACAGCTGCTTCGTCCTAGTTTGGGACTCTTCACAGTATGCACCCACCGGGGTTTGAACCCTGCACCCTCTGGTTACAAGACGAGCTCGTAGGCCATTCAGCCACAGGGACCCAATTTAATGGCCAGCCCATGAATTCCAACTTCTGCCAATTCACGATATGGCGTGACCACTAGCCAATGTCATTGGCGAGTATTTGTCCTCACGCCCGACATGCTGTACTCCACTGGTCAAAACTTCTCACTAGAACCCAGGTAACTAGCTAGCTGAATAGGGTCAGTCGCTTGTGAGCATCTCATTGATATTCAAGTATTGGTTTGTAGGGATTTAACTGATTAGTTACAGAATTTCATTATGTGTTTCCAGTGAAACATAGACAACTTTAAGCTTTGAAGCCTCAGTAGCTGTGAATTAGTTTTGCTATCCTCACACAACTAGTCCAACCTTCCCTCTTGTCCACACTTACTACAGGGTACTGTAAGGTTTACGAGTGCGTCGACCTGGAATGGAAACTATGTGTAGAGTGGTTAGTGAGCAACCTACTACTGAACTAATACACTCCAGATCTTGAATATCGAAAGGAGAAAGAAAATGAATGAGGAAGGTCATCGGAAACCCTATTTTTATATCTATATAAGTTCCTTCTGAAAAAAACCTGGAATTCTGAAGTACATCACATGATCGACCTTAACTTCTTAAAATAAAGCTTGAAAAATCAAGTCACACTGGAAAAAAATAAGTAAAAAGTAATTTGAATCTGTGAATAAACACCTTGAACTGAATTATCTCGACTTAGAAACAACTATGCACTAAAATACAATAGTTCAAGTTGTCGCACTTTTGATGAAAGTTAACAGAGAAATGGAAAGAAACTAAAATACACGAAAATGTACGACAGAAAGAATTATTATATGTGAAATAGTAATGATTCAGTGGATGTAGGAGTTCACACAGAGTACGACTGAGAATGATTGAAAGCTATATCACCACCAACAGTAACAAGCTATCGGTCATTTTTGGCAACGCAGCGAGACAGTGTATACCTTCCGACCTCACTGACACCAACAGTCAAAGACTTTATACATTGATGGCAAGTTTTGATTTCACCTCCCCTACCCCATCTAACTTCTCCCCAACCTAATTGTATGTCAACTAATATTACTCTACAAGAAAGGCGATGACTTGGTATGAATAATACTGAGACGTAGTAAGTGAAATCAGACAGATTAATTTTCTTGAGAATAACGAACATACAAACAGATGACAAGGATGTGACTAGACGAAATCATTAAATGACTACTGTCAAGAAGAAATGTAAACCAGTACAAATCAACATTAAGGAATCAATGTTTTTAAACTTACCATGCACTGAATTCTTCCCACAATTTGTTTGTGATTGATGATTTAAAAGCTCGGAAAGATATGTAGAAGACATTGATGAAATGTGATGTTGTGATGATTTCAGATTACTCTGTTGTCCCATTATTGAATCTTCACATAATTTTGTACTTAGCATTGTCGTTCCAGGATTTGTTTGTTGCATAGAATTATGTTGGGCAGAAGGTGCAATTGGAAATGCATTGGGAGGCGGAGGCGCAGGTGGAGCAGGTGGGGCAACCGGTTGACTAGGATGATTTGGATTTGGCAATAAACCTGATTGTGTTAAATGAGGTTTTAATAAGCCAAGTAGTGTATACGGTGTTACTGGTGGTAGCCAAAGTGGTGATTTACATTGTGAACTATTGTTATTATTAGGATTACTGTCATCTGTTAAACTGTTACGAGTAGAACGATTCACCTCTATATCATTCGATAAACCATTTGTTGTTGATGACAAGTTCATTTCAAGAAACGATGATGGCATTGTATTTCCCATAATTATATCAGTATCCAATGATTGCGTAACAATAGTATTCGATCTGTCCGTTAATGGTGTTGTTAAAAGTTGTGATTGCATTTGATGCTGAAGATGATGACTCATGACACATGTCAACACAACAATAATTTTTCAACCATATACTAACTTGACCTGGAAAATAATGATGCTTATTATTTAATGTGTGTGTATATATATTATATATTATACATATATGTATATATTGTTTCATATAAGTATGTACTTAACATTATTGGGCAGCTGATTAATGTGTACAAATGACCTGAATTCAATCAACACACACCAAGCAAATCAGAGATATGTTTTTCTTTTGATAGAGTCCAGACAACAACTCAAAAACAATGACAGATAAACTTACTTTATTAGTGCTTGCTCTCTGTTTAATGTCTTTTTCATGCCTACAGGTATGTCGACCGCAAGTGTGTCTGGTTGTCTATCTATCTATCTTAGATTTTTAATTTGTACGTTTTTGTCTATGGGTGTTGATTCTTCAAAATTTTGTAAACAATTGACACATCTAAATAATGAATTTATTTGAAGGCTTTTTTTCTACATATTTGATGGTGGCCCAACTGCCGCCTGTAGCATACGTGCCATTGATTGGATGGATGATTGTCCAGGCTCCCATAATTATATCCATATGATCATCTTCAAGTGTATAACGAATTGTTTTTCATCCATTTAACGACCAATCAAAGCCTATTGTTTACCAATATCCACCCCCGCTTTTACTATGATAATAAATCATGGACTGATTAAATGAAGGTCTGATTTCCATTTGACCTTCGGAAAGTACTTTAATTGGATGCATGTCGAAAATGGTGTCTTGTCAAGGTTAACAGTTCTGACTGTCTGCTCAAAATCTAAACAAAAGATTTACGAAATACACTTTACATTTGTTGTCTAATCTCTCTCTCTCTCTCTCAGTTTAATGCTGACATCACGGTCATTACCATCAGGCAGATGTGTATTGAGAGGTTGGCACTTTTATAGGCTTCAATGACAAATAAAGATTTATTTTTGACAAGGACAAAAATTTCATACAATACACTGATTATTTTTTTCTAAATAAAAATGATGCCTAAACATTATAGAGGAAATTTATTTGGTAAAATCACTGTCATATAGCATTATTTACTGATGATGACCAGCAGAAAAGGTTCGAGCACAGTGTGCATTAGCACTAAAATAGTAAAATAGAAGCACAACCAAACTTAACAAAATAGGAATCTAAAACAGGATAAAAACAGCGTCATTACAAAGGCTGATAAAGTAAACTCGACAGTAATTATGGATAAATCTGACTACATTGAGAAAGTCACTGAATAAATTACAGTGAGTTTATATTAAGGGATTAAAAGCCTGTAGATACAATAATAAATAAGATTAAGAAATCTACAGCGGATTTAATAAGCAGAATGAAGCCGTCACTGGGTGAGTCTAAGTGGTTTAATTTAATGCCTAAAACTAATAATGCTAGTAGAATGTATGGTACTATTAAAATACATAAACCGGGTTACACCATACGACCAATAGTAGATTTCAGGAATCCCCCTACTTATGAATTATGAAAACACTTAGCTCTAATATTATGTCCCATGAGAAATCATTCAAACTTAAGGTTAACTAATTCACATGGAATGAAAAAGAAACTAAATGACATTCAACTAGGGAATGATGAAAACAGAGTTAGTTTTGGTGTCACTAGTCTTCATACTAACATAATTAATCTAATTTAATGTTTATTACAGCTTGATGCCACACCGTATTTTCAGTACAAGTATGGAATTTTCAGCATGGATATCGGTAGCCCAAATTTACAGGCCGATCATAGATATCGGGTGTGCGTCGGCAGGGAATCGAACCCCGGACCATGTGCATGGTCGGCGAGAGTCCTAACCACTGTTCAAGAGAACTAACAGGTGATCCTGAACTTATTCCTAGAGCAAAGCTACCCACTGAAGAAATTATTTTAGGAATTCACTTATGCCTTACATCTACTATCTTTAAATTCCAGGGCAAAATATACAGACAAACAGACGGTGTAGCAGTGGGATCACCAATATCTCCTATCGTAACAGATATCTTAATGGATAGCTAGGAAAATACGGCTCTTAGTACATTTGGTCCTAGTCCAAAATTATGGTGGAGGTATGTGGATGACACTTTCACTTGCAGTGTTAAAAACAGAACATATCTCTAGCTTCTTGATGCATATAAACTCACAAATAAAGGGAATAAAATTCACATTTGAATCAGAAAATAAACAAGGAGAATTAGCTATGTTAGATTGTAAAATCAAACGAACAGAAGAAGGTAGACTGCACACTAGCGTTCATAAAAAGCCAACTTATTCTAATAGATATTTAGACTTTAATTCATCTCATCCGTTGTCTATGAAGGCTGGCTTAGTTAAGTGTCTAACAAACCGAACAATAGCACTAAGCAGTACAACAAGAAACCTAAATGATGAAATGAAACGAATAGAAGAATAACTGGTTGGTGTTAGATAACTATCCTATAAAATTCATTAAGATAAAAACAGGTCCCAAGGAAAATAAAAATAATAGTGAAACTGGTAACCACAACATAAACAAGAAAGAATATAAGGTGTCTACAGTTTTACCATATAAGGAGGGGTCATTTGAGACTCTAAGTAGGATCCCTAATAAAGCAGGAATTAGTGCGACATATAAACCTCCACACTCACTGAGCTCGGTGGGATAAAGGACCCTATTGACCCGATTAGACAAAATACCTTGCAATGAGTGTGAGTAAAGTCAACTACATTGCTAAAACTAGTAGGTCGGGAGTGGTTAGATTATGGGAATATAAGAATTTAGCTAAGTAAAGAATGGTTGACTCCGCGAAGATGAGTAATCTAGGAAAAAACAACTCACTGATTGCAGTGCATGCATTAACACACAACCATACAATAAGATGGGAAAGAGTAACAGTTCTAAAATGTAATATTGATAGGTTGAGAGAGTGGTTGATTATTGAATCTTGATTCATTGAATCTTCACCTAACACATACAGCAGGAATGACTTGGCACCAATACCAGAGATATGCAAAATATTGCTGCCAGTAAAGTCAAAACACAAGAAATAATATTCCATTTTGTGTTGTTAAGTTTGAATTAACGTTATTACCTTCTAACATTTTATTTTACTGACAATTTCTTGTCTTTTTTCATTTGTATATCTAATCGATTTGTGTTACATAGATATAAACAAAGTTCAGAAGTTGTGTGAAGACTTTTGAAACTGCAGAAGACAAAAGAGTCTTAGTAAAGGAATGTTTATTAGGAATTTGGTATCTCTGTATACCGAAATTATGTACACCTTATCTCAAAATCATCATCTGCAAAGATCTTCCGTTTTGGGCTACTTCTGTCCTTCGTATTGTCTTTCTTTGTCTTCCTTTTCACATCTCCCATGTTTCTCTGCAACACTGAATCATTTGCCTTCTCTGACATTGAATCTATCTCCCTCCTATGTGATATTTTTAATACCGATGAACGTCTCTTTATGTACTGAACATGTCACACCTTGATATGATTATGAACAGTCATAAATTGTGCTCAACACGTCAGCATTAAACATTACTACATCATTGCATACTTTTGTCCAACAAATCTATACTAGAATAGAATTATACTGTACTGCAGTGCCTGGCAGCGACATCCTGTTTGTGCGTAGGTGACGCAGCGGTTAGGACGCTCGCCAACCATGCACATGGTCAGGGGTTCGAACCACGGCCACCGACGCACTCCTTTACCTCACAAAGCCAGAAATAAAGCTGGTGAAGAGGAAAGGTTGGGCATGAGGGCAACCCCATCCTGTAAAATAAACACTGCTACAGAAACTTCAAGCCACTAGCTTGAAACCCTATGTTCCACTGGGGAACGTGAAGGATAAAAAAACAATGCCTAGGTTCTGTTCTTAAATCAATGATAACTAAACATTCATTTATTGATCATTAATGAATTTAATCGATAGATGAATTATTTTTTAAAAGACTGAGTTTAGTGAACAGAGAATATTGACATTTCCGATAACTCCTTCTTCTTCTTCTTCATCAGGTTACACAGTTATATCCATACAGAATAATAATTAAGCTATCATTGTTGTTATTGACAACATCATTGCTGTTGTCAATAACATGGAATCAATAATATGAGTAGATTACAGTTGGAAAGCATCTGTAAGTGATAATATGCATAAGAATGTAATACTAAACGTAATATCAGATAAATTATGACAAATAATAATAGGGAATTTCAGAATTGATAGGTTCCACAGCTGGCAGGCAGGCCAGGTTATTAAAAGTGTTTCCGTTTGTTTTGTTTCTTTCCCACTCAAAATTCCGGTTGTTTTAATCTACAACTATTCAGCGGCTACAGGTGTTTCAGGTATTTGGTACCCAAAGGCTTTTGCCAATTCATCTGGTATCCACTATAAAATACAAAATGATTCTTCAATGCTGACGTATTTTGTGGCCTTTCTGGATCAAATGTACTAATATCCAACTGTTGGTGGTTTTTACTACACCTTTATTTTTTAGCCACACTAATAGGCCTTTCTTTTCCCCGAGAAACTTACGTTTTTGTCCTCAGGACATCTACGAGTCTTGATAAATAAAGCTATAGTTAAAACCATTATTAGTTCCATATTAAATCAACTAGGACAAACAGGCCACAAACGCAGCTATAGCATTGAAGAGTCTTATTCTATTATCTACCCAATTATCTACTGAATAAATCATCAAAGACCTTCAAATACCCAACACTCCAAACACCAAACACCATTGCCATTCACTTAAAACAACAGAAGCTGTGTGTATGTGTATGTGTATGTGTGCAAAGGAAACAGGTCCAGAGGCTATTTCTACTGTGACCTACCTGCCCGCCCGCCCGCCCAACTGCCTGCCAGTTGGGGAACCTATCAATTCTGAAATTCCCTATTATTATTTGTCATAATTTATCTGATATTACGTTTAGTATTACATTCTTATGCATATTATCACTTACAGATACTTTCCAACTGTAATCTACTCATATTATTGATTCTATGTTATTGACAACAGCAATGATGTTGTCAATAACAACATGAAAGCTTAATTATTATTCTGTATGGATATAACTGTGTAACCTGATGAAGAAGAAGAAGAAGGAGTTATCGGAAATGTCAATATTCTTTGTTCACTAAACTCGGTCTTCTGAAATTTCAATGGACATTTTTAATCAATTTAGAGGCAGCATAATTCGAATTCTGGAGACTCTCAGGTTTTCATCTTCAGTCATCACCCGTAACATCCAAAATGCTCTAGAGATGATTATGTTTCCGATATACGCCGAAATTGTGTCTCTGAATCAGTTAGTAAGACGGTATTTGCAAGGAAACTGTAATGAACCTTCAACAACGGGAAATTGTTTTCGATTTGTGAGAAAGATAAACTCTGTCGTGTGGCTGCCTCTATGCGCATCTGTCAGTTCACCTACTCTTCTGGGGGAGATGCATTAGGTTGAGTTTACATTTTCCATTGATTACTGATTAGGTTTGACGGAAATATTGGATCTCTGTGTTGACATGAAGACTCCCACCTGGTACAGGCTACGTG